CCCCCCCCCCCCCCACGTACCTACCATTTTTATGCGTTCATGCTCAGGTGTGGACCTCAGCATGCCGATCCACCTTTATGGCGTCGAGGGGCCGTGGCATGCATTAGGACGTAGGTGAAATCGTGCTCCCCCACACAGTCCCCCTCGTGCTCCCCTATACAGTCGCAATCGTGCTCCCCTACACAGTCCCAGTCGTGCTCCCCTACACAGTCCCAATCGTGCTCCTCTGCACAGTCCCAGTCGTGCTCCCCTACACAGTCCCAATCGTGCTTCCCTACACAGTCCCAAAACCGCGCGGTCGTCCCGTACCCAATCCCAAAACATTGGGACCTCTCAACACTTTCGCACTCCAGAGGCTCAAAACCATGAGAGATCCCAATGCTTTGAGTTCCCACGTCCTGAAACATTGGGACCTCTCAGCACTTTCGCACTCCAGAGTCCCAAAACCATGAGAGGTCCCAATGTTTTGAGGTTTTAAAGCTCAAAACCATGTAAGGTCCCAATAAAACCAATAAAACCAATGTTTTCAGAGTCTCGGGGGAGTGCGAACCTGGAGACCACCGAAACATTGGTTTTATTGGTTTTATTGGGACCTTCCATGGTTTTGAGCTCCTAAACCCTCAAAACATTGGGACCTCTCATGGTTTTCGCATCCCAGAGTCAGCGCACCATGAAAGGTCCCAATGTTTTGGGCTTGTATAGACCAAATTATTGGGACCTCTCATGGTTTTCGCATCCCAAAGACACCAAACCATGAAAGGTCCCAAAGTTTTGGGCCCGTATAGACCAAAATATTGGGACCTCTCATGGTTTTCGTATCCCAGAGTCAACAAACCATGAAAGGTCCCAATGTTTTGGGCCTGTATATACCAAAAGACCAACATATTGAAACATCTGAACACTCCAAGCTGCGATTTCCAGCTCAAGCTCGAAGCACCCTGGAACTAGATTCTGACCGCCGGACTCGCAAGCATGTCAGCTCCATTCGTCGGGAGTGTTCCATCCGAAATCGCCCGCATCATCTTCGACTACGCAGAGCCGGTCGCGGAACCTGTGCCGTGCGCTCCCACAGAGTGGGAGCGACGAATCGGAACATTGCCGGACGGAACCTACTCTGAATTTTGATCCTTATTTGCTTCTTTCGTTTGTGTAGTCTCGTGATGAACACCCTGCTTCACCGCACTATGAACACATCCCAGTAAGGATCTGTCGTCTACCGCATCCGCGACATCTTCTTCAAGATTACCCCTGGCCCTAATGGGAGGGAAGCTGAGTTGACGGCAGAGGACATGTTCACCTTTATGTTGGATTAAGCCTGAAACCAGGCTCTTCTGATCCACTGAAACCACCACACAACAATCGCAAGCGCACATAGAAAAAAGAGTGCTGAGATATTCTGTTGGACGCAGCAAGCTAGCGACAATTGTTTTTCAGATGGCTGGGGCAGTTGGTTTTCGTGTCAGCATTACAGGCTCTCTGGTGACATTGTAGATCTTCTCAGGTTCGCAAGCACAGCATGGCATCGGTCGCTCCCCGTCGCCCGATCTCTTTGGCACAGTCGTTCGATGAAACGAACCTCGACGGCAATATCAGCTGGGATGAAGCCATAACCAACACCGACGGCATGAAAGTGGTGGGTTTGGAGAGGCCTATGGTAGTTAACAAACCCGTAGGCTTTGTCAAGGTCGGGGACTTGCCGGCGAGGGACGAAATCGATGATGGTATCAAAAAGAAAGTACAATTTTTGGACGTGCTGCTGGAGTATGAGGGGGCTATAGACTTGAAGGAGGTAGAGACCATGTTTCTTCAACAGCGCTACGAAGATCTTCCGCCTCCTATCAAAGTCCCGGGCAACAACGTGACCCCATTCACTATGCAGCTGGTAGTGCTACCCCTCGCAGAAGGAAAATGGAACATCGTCAAACACATTCGCTTTGCTGATGGCGCAAAGGTCATGAACAGCACCATCAAGTCCATGTCTGTTGGCCGCGCTCTGGAGATCGACTACCAGAAAAATTTTAAAGACGGAAGCCGTGCCCTACAGTACCTTCTGGAGGGCATGGGTGGATTCCAAGTTCGCTACCAAAAGCTCGTGCCTGCAAACAACAACAGCAAGCTTGTCAGGGAAACGGAAGACATCAGGAAGGGCTTCCAGTATATCCGCGAGAACGGCCCGCAGGACAACTCCACGGGTCAGTTCACCAGTTGGACAGAAGAGGAGGTGAACAACCCCAATGGCATCCTTTATCGGTGGGATAGAGGCACGGTGAAAGAGTTTCTTCGCTGCCTTGCAGATCAGGGAAGCCAGTCCAACACTATTTCCGATTGGCCTCTTTCCTTGGTAGACTTCAAGCCATGGGCCCTAAACCTTATCGTCGCACCGTTGTTGCCTTTCGTCCTCGAGCATGCCATCATCTGGATTGGCAAGTCCGAGATCGGGAAGAGCCCCTTGTCGTACACCATGGCCAACCTGATGTCTGCCTTTTGGAAGATTCAAGAAAACAGCCCGGACGACAAGCCTTGCTTTCAAACCGCGAACCACTTGGATTACTTCCGTAAAGAGCGCGGCCGTCGCACGAAACCCAGGGTGTTCGATGACGGAAACCTAAATTTGGAGCAGCCTGCATCTGTTAAGGCCATCACTGAGGTTTCCGGCGTAGATCGGAAAACAATGGCTCGCTACAATGCGTCTTCGTACGAGAAGAACCAATTCTGTCAAGCGTGCTCCAATCCTTACGATCGCCACCAGGAACCCCCAATGGCTCCGAACGTTTCTTCGGATGAGGTTTCCTTCGACATCTTCTTCAACATCGTGCGTCCGTCGTTCCACAGAGACTTCAACGAAGAGGATCTCATTGCTGTGTTCAAGCGCTCAGCAGTGGTCGTCTTCACGGAGGTTGGCATCTACGTCCGTCCTCCCAGTACCAAAAAGGAGCATGTGAAACGCCATGCCTGGCCAGACAAAGATCGTGGGATGGTGTCTTTCTGCGCAAGGCCCAGGTACCATGCGTATTTGAGGGGCAAGCTGTCCGCCAACGGAGCAGACGCTACCCATCTTCAATGGTCTCTGAATCTGCTGCAAGCTGCACTTGACGGTGAAGTAGTCTCTTCTTGCACCACCATCTTTGGCAAGAGTGCCTTTACGGGGCAGAAGTTCATCCAGGAGAACCGCCCTGAACTCGCAGGCATTGATGCCAATACTATCTTCTACCCTGACAAGGACACTTCTGGCGCTCTTGAAAGAGAATCCAAAAGGTTCAAGTCCGTCAAATCCGCAAGCAACTTGCTGGCACCCGCATCTTCAGCATCTTCAAGCGCCGAGCACGCCAAACCAGAGCACGAGGTTCAAGAGCATGAGCAGGCAGGCCGCGACTCATTTCCTTCTACCGTCAACAAAGAGGAGGCCATGAAGAAAGAGGATGAGGCCATCAAGTTCCGAGGGGTAGCTTCGTTCTGATTTAGACACATGTTTTGGATTACAGCTGCGTCGTTGCGATTTAGACATACGTTTTGGATAAAACTTGCTTTGTTGTTGTTTAGACATATGTTTTGGATTAAACTTGCCGCTTGAAGCTTGTATTCCGATCTTTCTCGTGGTATCGATATTCCAGGTAGCCATCCTGCACAAACGTACTCAGGTCTCCGTCAAGCTGGAGAAAGACGAATGCGAAAGGAAATTTGGTTCTTTCAAGAAGCAGTTGGGAAATCGTGTGCTGCACATCGATATCTCTGACTCCTCCACGCCACCATCTCCCAAAGCTTCTTCCGCGAAGGTACCTGCGACATCGGTGTCTCCCAAAGCATCTCCGAAAGCAACGTTGTCAAGGGCATCCCCGGAGGCGTCTGCTGTCCATACTTCCCCGGCCGACGAAATGGACATTGCTTCTTCTCCCATGGACGACCCCATGGAGAATTTGACGCAACAGCTCGAAGATGAAATCAATGCCATCCCGGACGAAGAGCAAGAGCACTGAAGCATCCATTTGTGAGTGCCGTCAGACCATAGTTACCGTAGCTTTGAGCAGTCGCCATCAAGGGCCACCCTGGCATTTTGACCTTGCCAGTCAGTTGGCATCTAAACGTACTTTCTGCAGTCAGCCAAAGCAGTTTGCAGCAGGCACTTTTCAGTGATTTCGTTGATGTGTCGTTGTGTTTCGCACAGAGGAAACTTGTTATGGATGGCTTGCCATTTTGAAGCGAGCAGTTGTGCGTATCTACGTCCCTTTGATCTTCCTCAGCTTCCTCATGGCGCCCAAGGAGAAGTTCAACCCCTTCCCGCCTCCCAAAAAAGGCGTTCGACGGATGATTGCGAAGAGACCTTCAGCTATCAAGTCTGCGATTTGGAACAAAATTCCTTATGTCAAAAACAATAACGGTGGTCATGTGCGTATGGAGAAGGCCAAGTGGCGCCGCACCATCCAGGAACTCCTCTCGGCAAGCAATGAGAACATCATTGAGATTCTCACTGCGGACGGCATTCTCCCCAATTGGAAAGGTTGTGTGTGTCCGCACTGTCAATCTGGCAAGCTCGGTCCTCTCACCTCCAATGGCCGCGATGACATCCTGCGCTACAGGTGCAACAAGAAGGGCTGTCAGCGTTATTTGCTCCCTCAACACCTACACCCATTCTTCACGGCAACGAACGGGCCAGAGGGTCACTCGCTTCAAATGCAGGCTGCAGCCCTCCTTCTTCGTCTCCTCAATGTTCCGCTGTCCAACATCCATTTGCTCACACACATCAATCACAAAGCCCTGGAGAAGTTCAACCGCAACATCTTGCTCATGCGCAAGGGCTATGTCCAAAAGGCGGAGAAGGAAATCAAGTTCGGCGGCTGTCCAAGGGCTTGGAAAGAGGTCGAAGCCGACGAAGCGACCTTCGATAAGAAGACCCTTTCTCCTCAGGAGCTCGGCGTGAACCATGACAAACCAGTGCTCTGGGAGCAGTGGGGAGCCATAGTGCAGCGCGGGGCTCCTGAGACCCTCGTCTTGACCAAGCTAAACCCAGCAATGACAGTTCCTCGTGCGCCCGGTCCTGGTGCCATCAGAAAGGTGGATTGGAAGCCTCTGGCCTTGAAGCACATCGCAAACCGAAATGTCATCCTCCACACGGATTCGGCCCGCTCCTACAAAATGAAATTGCCCGGTGTTGTGCACGATGCAGTGGTGCATAAGAAGAAACGTGTCAAGAAGAACGGCAAGTGGGTGTGGTTGAAGCCGACCTTCGTTCGCATCTCGAAGCACAAGTTGCCTGATGGCCGTAGAATTTCCTGTAAAGCGGGAACCCAAATCGTAGATCGCGCGTGGAAATTCATCAAAGCCAGACTCTCCAGGAACCAGTATGTAAAGGCATCCTCCTTGTTGCTTGCTGCACAGATTCGCAGTGCACAGTGGGAGTACTGGAACCGCCAACGAGATCTCTGGTTGTGTACTGGACATGTTGTTGCTTCCTACATGGAAGGCATTGTGAAGAGGTGAGTACTGAGTAAAAATTTCTGGGCCTCTAACCTGTGATTTTGAGTAAAGTATGCACTTCGTATGCACTGCACACCTCTTTGCCAGAGTCACACAGGAAAGCTGAGCGCTAGACTGCCCGAAGGAAACGAATATGCAGTGAGCCAGTGCTATGAGTGTGTGTGTGTCGGATGCGGCACCAGCACAGCTTGAATGAAGTTGTTGCTCGCGTGGCTCACAGACACGCATGGACATCAGCAATGCAACATTGCAACAGACCTCAGTTCAAACCTGAAGCCGTGAACCCTTGAGACTGTTGAGTGAGGGTTCGCAGACTGTTGATGCTTGTTGCCTATCTAAGGCCACCTGCCCGCACTGGTTGCCTCTGGGCACTTTTCATGTACACGTATATTTAGGTGTGTATATATATAT